CATAAATTTTCTAGTTGGCAGAAAAAAAATTATATTTCAACAATGAATATTTTTAAACAATATATTAAACTCGATAGTGAAATATAAAGTATTATTGTACACAATTTTGCCATTTAAAAGAAATGGTGTGTCACAAGGCTTTTACTTACCACACTAGTATCAGTTAAAATATCATATATTATTTTTATTAAGGAACATTAGTAATTGCCACAATCAATGGCAACATACACATACACAAACTTTTTTTCTCATCTTTGGTTATTTGGACTTATCTTATTTCTTATTTATATTTCTGTTTAAAGTAAAGATTATATTTTTTTATGATCGGTTATCACCCAAGATTTCAACTCTGCAAATTGTTCCTTCTGGTTTTAGTTTACCAGGTAATTGTTGTTATCTTCTAATCACTAGTGGATCCAGGATTTCATTTTGGGGAGAGGACTTCAGCTGAAGGCTATTTTTTTTTCAAGTATAAAGATAATTACTTTGGAAGAAAAAGAAAGGAACTAACTATCAATACGAAATGGTGATTAAGTGATTCTTGAAGTCCTATTAAATGTAATTACACGGACAATAATACTTTAAGAGCTAATTTAAATTTTTTTTTTTAAATAAAATATGGTTATATTTAACCATTTGGTGGGGAGGGGGCGGGAGAGGGGCTTCAGCTCGAAAATCCCAAAGCCTGAAATTTGGTTCGGTGTCTGTCTGTCAGTCTGTAGTTAAATCGAAGTAACGGACATATCAGCTACTAACGTTATTCCGATTTTCATGAAATTCTTAGGCATTCTGCAAGTTAGTGGCTAGATGATCCCTTATCAAATTCCATCCAAGATTTCCGCTTGCCTACGCGTAAATGTATTTTCTTAGATATACCAATATTTAAGAAACATCTCGTTTGATTCGGCTCAAAGTAGAAAGAATGGTGGATTTTGGTAAAACAATGACTCTAAATCAATATTTCTTTTTTTATTGTCTTCTTTACTTTCTCTTATACATGCGCAAACGTAGTTTCTTTGATACATCTATATATATTTAAAACAGCACGATCGATTTGGCTCAAATGTGGAGGGAAATTAGGGATTGGTTAACACATAGTTAAGTATATTCGAGACGTTCTCATGCTTCCCACTACTACGCCGTGTTAGGGTGGCTCTTTCCCTCCTTCAGAAGACAGTACTTCCTAGGTACATTCCTTTACCAAATAATCTATAATCATCGTCCGTCCTACGCATTCAATCTCCTTCAATTCAAGTCATCTATCCACTCCCTCTCCACAAGATCTCGTAATTCCGACCTTTATACCCCTTACCACAAATCTGCCTCCTTTCAACACTCCTTTATTGTCTGCTCCACTACCTTTTGGAATTCCATCCCACTTAAAATCCGCCATGCACCATCCCTATCCATATTCAAAACCCTCCTATTCCAAATCCTCCTTACAATTCAACCAGAAGCTGGATAGCCATTTATCATGTAACAAAATTGCATTTTTCTCTATTTATCATTAGTATATAAATATACATTCTTTTTTGAGCATGGAAAAGATGTCTAGTCAGGTTCTGTAATGTAAATACTTCTGCTATCACTTAGTTTTTAGTTATTTTTATTATTGTAATATGTATTTTGGCCAGATGGAATGTTAATTTTTATGTACAAAATTGTTATTCTTAAGGGACTTTGTCCCAGAATAAAGTTGATTCTTCTTCTTCTTCTATATATCAATTTCATCAAATTCTATCCATTAATCGCAAAAAAAAAAAAATTCACTTTCAGATTAATTATTTTACACGCCTATAGTTTAACATTTTTACGAGGATATAAAATTTTATGTTTTTTTCAAAAAGCTAATGTACACGGTATCGACCAATTGGTCGATTCCAAACGTTACTGGTATGACACATACACCTTTCACTTTAATTTCGTGTAATTTTCAGTAAATTGTTATTAATTTTTACTTTGAGTTTGTAAAAAAAAAGTGTTATTTGTGATTTATATTGAAGTTAAATGAGCTTGTCTTGGTCTTGATTTTCTCCTTAATCAGCAAAGTAGAACAATCTTTAATCATATTTTTAAAATATAGCTCAAATTAGTTTTGTTCTAAATGAAGGAAAATATTTGTCTGTTTGAGTATAAGTTGAATTTTTCTGATGGATTTTTGTTCCATCCATTTTAATAGTGAAAACAAACCTATAGGTATGTTTATTGCTATAAGTAATCGGAATAGCTAATAGGTTAGTATATATCGCTACTGTTAGTGCAAAAGGTCATATCTAATCATTTTCCATTTTTACTTTATTTTTGCTAAAGGTGAAATTTCGTGATATGCAACTGATATAGATATTCTGGTACTATGGAAAATAGCAGAGGAAAATACAATAATAAATCATTAAGAAATAATTTGTTTGTTTTTTTTTTAAATTGTGCCCATGACTTCCACTGAAGCTGCTCAAAAATTTTTTTCTATGCTCTCGTGTAAAACACTCAATTTTTACATACGAACTTTTGCGCTAAAGGTGTATTTACACTAGAGCAACCACTATCCGAGCTTCAAGCCGCCTGCAGCCAGTACTTCTCTTGCAGCATGTGGCATTTGGCTTGAAGTGTTTGCTGCCACAAGAGGACGAAACTTTTGCACTGCTGTTAGCTCACTCATTTAATCTTAATCAATTAATTTTCATCTCCTTCTTTAGAGAAGTTAATGATAACGGTGTCCGCGGTTTCTTTCTCGATTCCAAATAATATAATAATGAGGAAATAAAGTAAAAGAAAGGGGTATAGATTTTTTACTTTCACTTATCTATATATGTAATATATAGTAAGTGTAAGTATTGCGATCGTGAATTTTTTTGAATCTCAGTTTTCAACGAAAAATCACGTTTCGAGGATCCCTGAGTCCAAATAACCAAGGCCTGAAAAATGGTCTGTGTGTTTGTATGTTAGCAGTCTAGCTCAAAAATGAAAAGTCGCACGAAACTGTTATTACGTATTAAAGATAGGTATATGCCTTAGACGAGACAGCAACTTTTTCCTGAAAATCGGCTAACCGGAAGTCGCACTTTATATCAACGCTGAAACATATTTTTACAATTTTCTCAAAAACGGCTCTAACGATTTTGATTAAACTCGATGTATCATTATATAATTAAGTGGTCTTTAATACCATGGAGGTCTTATCATGTCATTTTATAAGGCTTAAATGCCCAATGTTCATATGCGTCTTCCCCTAAAGAACCTTTAATATGGTTTATTTTAAATATTTAACTATCTCTCATTATTAAGAGTTACGAAAAAATGCTAAATACAATTTTCGAAAGAATTTGATAATTGAATAAAATAGAAAAAAATAAAATTGCTTATCCAGGTCGAAAATGAACCACCGGAAATACTTGTTAGAAGGTATACGTATAATATATCGTTGGAAAGAGGAGAATTTTTGAAAAAACAATATATAATATAGAACGCTGTAGAAGGTAACGCAGAGTGGCAAAAAAAATTGAATGAAAAGGAAATTAAATGAAGCTTACTAACTAAATGTAAACTTTTAAAATATTTTTAAATTTGAAAAAGTATTTAAATTCCACCTACTCAAGGCAATGACATTGTTAAAAAACTATTTCATTGTACTTGTTTGTAAGAAGACATAAAATATAAAATCATTTCATGGATGTATAAAGCATATGTTTATAACCTTAAATACATTTACTGTAGTTTAATTAATCTAGATCTGATATTGTAATTAATAATTAGGTATCCACCGTTCGTTTATTCCGAAATATTGTCATGTAACTTTTTAGAAAATTAAATTAGTGAATAATTTGATGAATCTTCCCTATGATATCCCAACAGTACCCACTAGTATTTCATTGTACTTGTATGAAAGAAGAAGTGAAATATAAAAATATTCATAAATACGTTTATAACTTTAAATATATTTACTGTAGTTTAATAACTCTAGATCTGATTTTATATTTAAATATTTAGGTATCTATTGCCGTTTATTCCGAAAACTCATCATGTAGCTTTTAGAAAATTAAATTAGATGTTAGATTAGATGTTAAAGTTGAATAGTTTGATGAAATTACCTTTTGTGATATTCCAACGTATCCACTTACAATTAGTGTGACTACTTTTGGCCTGCCTATGACAGACAATGCAAATCTCTTAATTTCGTTTTAGTAAACTTTGCAATGGAAAATAACAGTTTAATTACTGATAGTCATACAATTCATAATCAACTGATGATATATTAAATAAAACTTTTGTTATTTTAATGGTGTTTATGATTTTTTAGTTGTAATTTTTTAGCCTTAGTTCAGTTAAAAACGCAATCCAAAAATTTTATGATAGCCCAACATGGCCAGAAAATAATTTCTATTCAGTTGAGCGGTAAGTGAAAGTTGTGTGTTGCGCGCACCAGATTTTTTTAATAGTGACAAGAGTCGTGAGGACTCTTTCAACAAATTTGAATCATAGGACTTCGATTCCTCCTGTAATCCAAAACCTGATACTATTTTTCGAAATAGTATACTAGTTCAATAAATTTAGCGACAAAATTGATAAGTTGAAATAATGAAGTTATGTTTCACTCTAAACAGTGTAAAAGTTGTTAGTTGTAAATTTCGCAATAGGTAGTTAGAAACATTTTTTTCAATTTCTTTATCAATAGATTGAATTAAGACCATGCCAAAAAGCACAGCATTCTTTTTCATAAAGAGATGAATTGGTAAAAATAGTTTCTCTACTGATAGGAAAGTTGCATTTTGTTATTCGTGTCAAAATAGATAAATTTCTAACATTTAATAATAATTTATTAGTTTCCCTGTGATTCTTATGATTCATCCCATGTTTGTTTTGTTGCAATGATACGTCAACACTTGCAGATGATGAAAAATTCTGTTCTGTATATCAATATTTATTAACTGAACTCAATTTTCCAGAAAGCTATTTCGTTATGCATTTGTTTGTCAATCTCTATGCACGAATGAAATAAGAAATACTCAATCATTTATTGACCTCTAATAATTGAATTATGAAAATGGCCAAAAAACTGAATAAGTATGGGTTGGAAAAACTATGCAATGTAACTGTCATTAAGCTGAGACTTGTCTAGCATAAACTAAATTTAAATGGTGGAAATTAAATATTTGTGAACGAAGCCTGGTTACAAGCTGGTTATACGTGTTATATATGTTGGTATTAGATAAATATAAGAAGAAAACATAGTAGCCAACTACAAGCAAGACGGTCGAAGGCAAGACGAGAAGAGACCGAGTGAGGGAGACCACTGTCCAACCTGGGTCTGCAGAAAGCAAAGGAAAAAATAGAAGAACACCAGTTACGGTAGTTCGGATACGTCTCTTGGATGCAGATTAGCGAGGCTCGCCTATGAGATGCAGGTAGGAGGCAGAAGACCTACAAGGCGACCTAGGAAGATCTGGAAAAGATGAATAAAGGAGGCCTTTGACCGGAGAGGATTGGATTGGTCGAGAAAAAAGCAATTGATACAGGAATGAGAAGAGTAGATTAAGCTCAACAGACGGAAGCCTCACACTGCTTAGCGGTAGACGAGGAAGGATTAAGAACAAGATAGTATAAGCTAAAATAATTTTTAAATCAATTCAAAATCTAGTAAATATTCATTTACTGTACAATAAAATAGGAAACTATTGTTAGTTTTATTTATTTGCGCCTCAATATGTTAGTATTTTTCACTATTTAGCTATGTAATATACTGAATAATATATAGCTGTAATTATAATATATGTGATATTCAATTTTAATTTTTTTTTTTTTTAAATTGAGGTGATATATTAATAAACAAACAAAAAATCCTGTTTTTTTTTGCGAAAATTGCACGTTCGAGAGGTAGGTATTGTTTTTTAAATTTTCAAATAGTTTTGTTATCATTCCAAACAATCATCTAATAATTTCAGCTACTATAATGAGCTATATTTTTTAAATGCTCATCAAATGCAATATTCTGAGATTTTTTGTTGCATATAAATCCTGACATTAGTTATAAAAAAATAAATAGTCTATTATTCATGAAATAATAAGGATGATTTTAATTAGCTTGAAGATTTAGGGATGTAAGCTAAATTTCTTGCTAGATGGAAAAAAGTTGGAGACATAATTAATAATGTGGGGGAAAGAAACCAAGCCAAATTTCCATGGTTTGATTTCAAAAACTCACCAATCACAATATCAAAGAGGCAGAATAACTTTGGTATAACAGTTTATAACGGCATAAATTGAAACAATGACATCGACGTTATAGAATAGCCCATCGAGTGAGTCAGTTACATTATTAATTTTAATAAAGGAGTCGAGGAGAGAATAAAATCGACCCCGGCAGAAAGGTATGAAAGAGTTATGAGAAGGTCGCCGATCGATAGCTGGGGAGTCACGAACCTTACGAATTACTCTCGGGCCATCATTACGCTTGTACATATCGGCTGACATAGCTGGCTAATTACCAAAACGTAGAGTGGAGGATTCGGCACGATAGGCTACAATTCAGTTAATGCTTCCGCCAGTATTGTTTAGTTATTCATGTTACAGATAAGCTATGTAACACGATCCCATCCCAGCTCATAAACAACATAAACAGGGCAAACTGCTTTCAAATTGATTCGGCCTCGAAACGAGAGAAGGTTTAAATCATTTGTTGTACAAACAAGGAGAAACAATAAGGGAAATACAGAACTGAAGATAGCGGTTCGTGCAGACAAAATTAATTTTTTTGTTAATCTTTTCGCACGGAACTCTATCCCCAACATACCGCTGATGAAGATCTGCGTTGTTGGATCGAAACGTTGGCTTAAAATGAAATAGTTTTTCACTATTTTAAGTTTTTTTATATCCGCTATTCCGGACCATCTCTTCAATATTGAACGACAATCAACCATTGAGTAATCTAAATTAATTTTTCTTTGTTTTAGTAGATACATTTTACGATTTTTTTTTTGTGAAATAATTTATGGTTTTATGAATTCGCAGCACGGAATTACTAGCGCTACTTTTGATTGGTGTATAGCTTTCAGTACATTGTTATGTGTAAGTTCGTGATCATATGTGATGAATATAAATTCTCGATAGTTGAGAAATTAAAACCATTAAAATAAGAAAATACTTCCTGCAGTACCTGATACGACGCCCTGATGAGAACCTACAAAGTTTGTCGAAACGTCGGCGTAACTAATAAAATACTATTCTAATTTATAGTATTTTGTCCCTCCTTGTAAGTAGATTTTGCCCCATATATTGGTGATCGTCAAAATTCAAAAGACTCGTGAGTTTCGTGTGTGGTGGAGGTTTCCCGACAACTGCACCAAGTTAATTTTTTTTTTTACAATTGTTTCATCTTTCTTGTACAATGTTCAATAAAATGATGTCAATAGCTATCCCTCAATTTATGAAAAATAGGAAATTTGTTTGAAACGATATGGTGTTTGGCTTTTGGGAGCATGCGCACTTATACTGCACCTGTGGCAACGAGGAAGAGATAGCACTGCAGTGCCGACCTTGGCGACTGGTGGGATGTAATTTTTTTTTACTCCGCCTAGTTTTGTTTACTATTTATTTACCTTAATATTTCATGTCATAAACCGTAGAATTAGATTATTATACTAGTTCCAGCTATTCTATTTTATTAATTTATATTTATGTATTATACATTTTACATACATTAACTATGACCTTGCAAAATTAGTTCTGTTATTGTAACTGAACTCCAGCAGCTAAAGTTTTCACGTATATCGAGATGAATTATGTTACAGTTGAAAAACAGTTTGTTCAATATTCTATTTCCAAAGCTCTGATTTTGGAGAAGAGCCGCCATAGAACTTAAGTATTATCCTCACGAGTCTTCGCTCTCCTTAGCAACATGTGAATCCGGTCCCAAAGCCAATCTCTCCAAAGTAATAATAGCAGGATTTGAAATCTATAATTAAAAAAATCAAAATTGAAGCTGGACAAAATTTTTATTTGGATTTTTTAAAAATCATTTGATTAAAAGAGTTTTTTTATTTAATCATAAATGATAAAAATCAAATCTTGATCATTTCTTTAACAGAACTTTTACAACAATAATAATAATAATTCTTGAGGAATACATTTTTAAATCAGGAATCAGGATTAGGAGCTGGAGAAGATTGTTGTCAACTATTAGCAACAGAACAGGTTTATCTGCGAAATTTATTTTACACGTTGACTTACAAAAAAAAAAAAAAAAAAAAAAAAAAAAAAAAAAAAAAAAAAAAAAAAAAAAAAAAAAAAAAAAAAAAAAAAAAAAAAAAAATAAATATATATATATATATATATATATATATATATATATATATATATATATGAACATTGTTAACAAATACATGCATATTAATATTTAAATTAATTTGTGTGTAAAAAGTGATTTTTATTTTCTAATCAACAATTTTTGCTTCCTCACTACCGAAGGTAGGGAAGCATTGTGTTCGTGCGAGAAATTAAAAAATTTTTTTGCTCAGAATCGAAAATTTTCACTCGCGTTTTACGTTTCAGACATCAAGGATCAAATTTGGTTCGGTGTCTGTCTGTCTGTCTGTCTGTCTGTCTGTCTGTCTGTCTGTCAGTCTGTCTGTCTGTCTGTAGTCAAATCGATGTGACGGGCATATCACCTAGTACCGTTCATCCAATCTTCATGATATTTTCAGGGATTATGCTGATCGGTGCCTAGATGGTCCCATATCAATTTTATCAAATTCCACCCAGCACTTCCGCTTACGCACGCGCAAACGTATATTTTTAGATATGCCAATATTTCAGAAAGGGCTCGTTCGATTTGGCTCAAAGTTAGATAAAAGGTAGACTTTGGTGAAAAAATAATGTAGTGTCAATTTCATTGAATTGCGTTCAACACTTTCTCTTATATGTGCACTACTAGTCCGCCGTCCGCCGTCCGTGCATTTTTTCTGAAACTACTACACATTTATGTCAATATTGTATATGGTTTTTTAGAAGTTTACGGAATTTCTTAAAAAACAAAAAAAAAATCGTCAAAATCGGACAAGTAGGAGCAAAGATATCGTCTCTAGTTTTTTTTAGATGTTCTATTGCAAAAGGTTTATCTTTTTTTTGATTTCTGAATGTGTTACTGAAGTAATGCTATTTTTTTTATCATATTACTAATGATTAAAAAAGATTTTAGTCCAATAATTATAATCACCTTTAATTGATTTTTCTTTATAACTAGGAATTTAATGTTACTTTATATGTATAATTGTTTGGAAATAATATACCAAAGAGAAATAATTTGCAGTGGTTTTTTTCAAATTGATTATCGTTATATATATATATTTAAATCTTTCGTGCTGAAGCCCCTTCTCCAAAATTAAATCTTGATTCGGTAATGTATATACTATTATTAGAGCATAAGTTCGTATGTAATAATTTTCAACTTTAATTCTATGTGTATTAAAGGTGATATTTTGTAGTCTGCAACTGATATAAGTAGTCTGCTACTATGGAAAATAGCAGATGAAAATAAAATATGAAATTATTCTAATAAAGCATAAAGAAATATTGAATTTTTATGCACTCTTGTAAAACAATAAATACATTTATACATAAGACCTTTTGAACTAACAGGATTGAATTTCATGTTCAGTATGCATTTTTTTTTTTTTTTTTTTTTTTTTTATTAAGCATAATCAAGTATGGAATATTCAAATACGACCCTCTGTTGTTGAATGTTGAAGGGTAACTGTAATCGGCTATTCCGAATCTGCTTCTCTCAGAGATTTTATTCTCATTCGAAAAATTGTATACCTTGTAATATACAACGGAAACGGTGAGGAAGCTATACTGACCTTACTTGGCAGACGTTTTTTATTACATTTTGTTCATTATTATTTATGTAAAACTGTATCACTTAGTGAATGATCATTATTTTTAAACGAATAAATATACATCAATGATCGATTTAAATTTGTATTCATAAATCAGGCACGATTTTTAAATTAAAAATCAAATATAATAATTATTTCATGATTTCTTGAAAAAAAATTATCGATTTCACATTCTGAATAATATATTAAAACTTATATTAGGTTTATACCATAGAAATGGAAATTTGAACTGATTCGGCTACACCTTACTATACCTTGATTATCTAGGTGGTATCGACTTCGCAAGTAATTCAGTAAAACTGGTAGTTTTGAACACGCAAACTAATAGTTTCTAAACTATTCCATGCCAATACATTTAGCATTAGATTGCTACCAAATTGGATATTGATGTATACAAAGCTTCTGGCAAAATATGTTATTTGGATGATTCTTATTTTATGGATATATTTTAATCTATTAAAAATTATGTTGAATTAGTTATGTCTAATTTGACTATTTTCCAATTTTTTCAACCGTTATGCCTTCAGTTAAACTTTCTCTACTATGAAGTATTTAACTTTTTTAAAAAATATAATTGCTGTTAATCTCTGAATTCCTCTTATGCTCTTAATATTGAAGAAAACATTTGCTACTGCTTCCGAATTTTCACCCTACTACGGCAAACCCATTGGGAAGGTAATGTGTTTAACGTGACCGTTTGTAGGATTGGAACTGAGTATAACGATCTTTCGAGTTAACGACTCGACCGATGTTTACGTTTCATGGTTCAGATTACTTATCTCACTATATGTTTTCAAACAATATCAGCTCAAAATACTAAAAAGGTATTTTAAATATTCTCGAATTTTTCTTTTGTTTTGTTTTATTTGTTCATACCATGCATAATTACATAAATATATACGATGAATTCAAAGTGTCAAAACTTAAACACTAAAAACCTAGAAAAGGAAAATAATTTTATTTAAAAAAAAAACTGTCTGCCAAGTAGGGTCTGTATAGCTTCTTCACTATTTATGTTAGTTCCATAATTCCCAATATTCCAAGATCTATTTGTTGTTGTAAGAAAATAAAAATGACAGTAAAAGTTAGTTTTCAGCCTTGTCAAAAAACTTAGAATTTAATCAAATTCATTTAGCATAATTTTTGCATTCATTTTCAATTCTTTACCAAGTTTGAATTAAATCGAATATATAGGCGTGCCCAAAATGTACTTTTAACTGTTTATAAGTTCCAATACGCGCAATGCATATAGTTTATCATTTTCATAATTTCACTTATTCCCTTACCATTTAATATAAATATTAAAATTTTAAAGTTTTAATTCAACACTTTTGATCTTAGCCACTTGTTAAGATAATTAGATGAGTCTCTATGAAAAGATTTTTAAAAAAATGTTTGAATATAGTCAGAATTTTTAAAATACTATCATAAAAATTGTCGGAATCTAAAAATCACACATTGAAAACTTCAATATTTCAATCATTTTGCAAGGTTTACTAGTAAATCATAAAAACCTAATAAAAATCAAATAGGTTGTTAACGGCCAGCTATATTATCCTTTTTTCTGAAATATATTAT